AAACAATAGTTAAATGTGTTAATTTAGTTTTAGTATACATAATCCTGACTGTAGAGAAAGAAAGAGAGAGAGAGAGAGAGAGAGAGAGAGAGCAAAAACATATATTATTACTAAACCAATTATTAAATAATAATATTTTATATTTGTATACATAAAATGTTAGTTGATTTGTTAATTACAGTTTATATACAAATTCACAAAATAATAGCTCAATTAAATTTTAAAATTAATTTCAAAAGTAGACTGATTTGAATAATACCAAAAAGACAACATAAGATAAAGAACGCAATAAAAGTACCTTGACAAATGTCCACTGTTTTTGTTCATGATTAAAATATGTGACCGAACGCATATAAAACGTCTCCAAACAGCCATACTTTATGAGCGAAATCCTATCGTTTTCGCAAATGGCACCGAATTCTCGTAGATTTTGACACATTATTATAGTTTGGCGTAAATTACGTTCAAATAGCACGGGTCTCAATCCAACTATCCGATCCACATTGACCCTGGTCACAATTGACGAATCAGTGGTGATAGCATCACCAAACACTATGGTAGCGTTTAATAACTCGCTCAATCGTTTGCCTTCCAACTCGTTTAATTGGTTATTGTAGTCCATTAGTGGGCGATGAAAATATGCTTTCACCATGGCGATTGCTGCATCTTCCCGCAAATATCCAAATGGATATTGATTTTCAATGTCTATCAATGAATTGTTGACGTAACAAATGTCTTTGCAAGTTGTGTTATTGTTTTCCCATGTTGGGACAATTGGTAACTCTAGTTGTGTATTACTGGCACTACATTTGCGATATTTTTTCTCTTCTTCCGTAAGCATATATGTCTTAAATTGAATGATTATTTATATTAATTTTTTATATACATTTATTATGTAATTTAAATTAGTATTTTTGATATTAATAATAAGTAAAATAATATTATTAATAATTACCACGTTCATTCCCATAGAGTAACACGCGTTGAGTCGACATGAAATACAGAATCGTCTCGTTTTAATATTAATTTTACAAGTATTTTTGAAAATGCATTTAAATTCCTATAAAAATAATATTAAATATTAATTTTTAATAAAAATTTATTATACAAATAAAGTTAAAAATAATTTTAAAAGTAAAATAAAATAATTATTTTACTTTTTGTTTAATGGCATTACGCTTAAAGAATGCTTTGCATGAATAGCATGAGAAAGCTCCAAAATTTTTACCTATATCAAATAAATAATTAAATATAAAAAATAATTCGAAAAATAATAGTAATTAAAATTATAAATAGAATTATAAATAGAATCATAAACAAAATATTCTACAATTTAAATACAATGTCAAAAATAATCATAAAGCTTACAATAAGCTTTGGCTCCGCATATCAAACATTTACCGTTATTTTCTCTCATTTTAGCACACATTATATTTTTATGTTATAATTAATCTACTAAGCAATTTGTAAATTAAACTAATTTTAATCAGAGTCGAGTTAAAATATTTATATCGGTGTACCTGGTGAATTTAAACTCACATAAATACTGCATTAAATATTCGTTCATATTGTAAATATAACTCGTGGTGCTAATATTGCATTTGCACCCATTTTAGTGTAACCAAGATCTTTTTATTAAAAAGGGAGTTGTATAAAACTATATTATTTTCATGGATGTCCACATATACTAACAGTGGTCCTGGTACAGTTAATATATAAAATAATGATACGATAAGTGAATGAGGGTAGTATGTTACATAGCGAACTAGTTCATAATAAAAATAATACATTTATAAATATAAATAACGAATGATTAGATAAGCTAGATTTTTTTATAAGTTATTGAGTTTACAATGAACTTAATCATAAATCTCCCTGGTGCATAGTGAATATAATATTGGTTGATGGTAAAACTATTCTACACTAAACACACCTTATTTTGCAAACGTCATATATAACTGAAAATTATCTAGAGTGTCAGTGCAAGCTCATCAAGTACAATTATACTTAAATGTAAAATCTGAACGTGAATTTAGTTTATGTCTGTTAGTTATGATTGTGTTAGAAATATGAAATATTGATAAATGTGGTAAGTTTTGTCTTAATAAAATTGCAACAGTGTATAATACAATATAGTGCATTGGGCACAACTCTAATCAGTAATAAAATATTTAGCTGGAAGAATGTCTAAATCAAAATATAATCAATTCTGAGAACTGACATTCATTTGTAACATTTTTATAGTAACTTGTGCAAGTTAGTTATTTCTGACAGATTTAATTATAAATGAATGAGGAAAACATTAATAAAATTGCATTAATAATTTGACTTATTATTACATTATTATTATATGTTAATTTGAATGTGCGACATTTAATCTATATAATTTTAAGAATAATTTAAATTTTATTTCAATAAATATTACACAAAATATTACAAATTATTACAAAGCACGTTAAAAATTACAAACATTAATTAATGTTAAAATTAATGGTATGTTATTACAATGTTTAAATAATTATTAATTAAGATAGTTTTTAATCACATTATTTATAAATCATAAGTTATATAAGATAATTGTCCATAAAATTATTATTTTAGCTTCAAACATTTTTGGCTTGTTCAAATAAATGACAAAATAAACGTTATTACATACTTAACATTTTGTAATAAACATTTTTTAAACAGAATATTTATTCTAATTTTATCATCATAGTTTAGAATTTGGTTGTTAAATACAATTCTACATAATAAAAAATTTATTAAACAATTTTCCAGTATTTCCATTAAGAAATCTTTAATTTATGATAATTATATAATTTGTTAATTGTAATTAGTGTTACAGTTTGAACATGTTAATTTTATTTAAATATTTATTTGTGTTAGTGGTACATGATGTAACAATCTCTAACATTGTAGCTAGAACTGTTATGGGTATTTAGTGTTAAAGCATTTAGCAACTTTACATGATTGATGGTCTTTGAATTGTTACAATTATTGTTGTAGTTATCTTTAATTGTGACATTTATTTACTTTATATGTAAACATACAAACTGTAGCATAAATTACAAATAATAAATGATATAATTAAAATAAATTTATGTTTTAGTATTGGCTTATTTCAAAAGTCGTGTTTTATATTTTAATATTATTTAAAATAATAAATAACAAACTTTAAATCTTAATTTATCTTGGTAAAACTAAAGTATTGATGTGTTTTGTTAAGAATAATTATATTAGTGATTAACGGAGAAAACATTTAATCTAGTTATTTATTAAACATATTTGTCAAACATTATAGTTATTATAATAGAATAATTTTATATATTAGTATTTCATTTAATACATAAATTAGGAAAAAAGCAAAATTTAATTTTATTAACAAGAAGTTATAAAACATTTGTTATAAATGTTATAAAATATACAAATATATTTACAATAACTATACTGTATATCAAAATTAAATTTTAATAAATTAATTTTAAAAAAACAAAGTTAATCTAATATCCTCTAATAACATTTGATTTTTTAATTCAACATTAATTAGTAATTTTAAATTAAAAAACATTAATAATAATAATGTTATTAAACAATATAATTTATAGAGGATGTTTATTTTTATAAAAATTATTATAGATTAACTATAATCAATTATCGCGTTAAATCTGTCAAACCATAAGCATTATAATAATGTTTAATGTCGGTAATATTTAAATTTGGTTTAATGTTACATATCTCTTTTAGTGGCCGATAGGGTGCAACTCTGGGGTGTGTCTGTTTAAGTAATACAAAAATTATAACTAAATAACAATCAATTCCATGAATAAAACTTACATTTAAGTTAATTATATAATTCATTAATTTTTATTTGTGTTACAGTTTAAAAATATTGTTTATATTAAAATAATTATAACTTTTACATAAATCAATAACCATGGTGCGACTAGTTTTTATTGAATTTGGGTATTGAGACGTTTGACGGTGATTAATATTGTTTGAATTATTTTTATAAATTATAATTAAGTTGTTACTATTTTGCGAAATAATTTTTTATCATATCTAAATATCTAACCATACAAACTGTATTATACATAACATTTAATAAATTATATAATTTTCATAACGGTGTATTTTATATTATGGTCACAGTGCTAACCCAAATTCTATTTTGTAAATAAAATTAATATACAATTGTAATGACATTAATATTTATTTAAACATGATTAATTATTGGGATAAATTTAATAGACCAAGTTTATTCTGACAATATTCCGTCTGGGTAATGTTTGCATCGGATTTAATGTCAAATATTTCTCTTAGTAGCTGATAGGGCACAATCACGGGGTCAGTCTCTTCGCAGTTGCGTCTGTGACGGGCGGCCACCTCTCGCAGGTTCCCCAAAGCCGTCACCAGTCTATCGTGTTTTTTCACGGCATAGCCTTCATTGCCATATCTCAACAGCAGATAGCGTTTCAATAAATACAGGTATATTTGTTGTTGTAAACTATGGAGTGAAAATTATTAAGTAAAGTATCAAGCAAGTAATTGTAGTTAATCATATAATTTTAAATATGTCAAAGTGTATCGCATACATTATTGTTTCCGGATGAAATAAATTAGGCCGATTGGGATTGAACATGATAATGGCAGTTAACTATAAATTAAATATTAATATGTAAATTATCAGGTTTGTAGGTAATATTATACAATGTATATTTAAAAATATTACCAAGTCCAATACAACGGGATCGGAGTCCCATTCCGAGCACATACTTTGATGAAACACTTTAAACCAATGGTAAATATTGCGGCGAAAAATTTTCATTACACCCAAGTTTACTACAATTGAGTTCCCGTTTTCCTATTGTAAATAAATAGCAAATAAAATTAATAAAGTTGAGAGAGAGAGAGAGAGAGAGAGCGAGAGAGAGAGAGAGAGCTATTAGCAAGATCAAAATACCAATTCATAAATCCAGTGATCTCTACGGCAATCATAATGAGGTAGAGCTCGCATAATAAACAACTCCAAAAAGCCGTACTTTATTAGCGAAATCCTATCATTTTCGCAAACATTACTAAACGCGGTTATATTGCGAAACATGTGCACCAATCGAGTTATTTGGTGCATAAACCGTTGGCCAATCACCCGGATCACATCATGCTCGCGTAACAGCAGGGCAGTTTGATTATTTAGTCCGGGTTGTTCTACAAAAATCCGAGAGGCTAATAATAATTCACGCAATCTATTGCCCTCCAACTCGTTAAAATGCGCTACACGGTAATCGGTTAGTGGTGTGCAAATTGTTATACATCCTGTAGTATATTCAGAATTATTTTTACCGACATGTGCAATATTGTGATTGTTTTCAAGTTCATTATCTGCATTAACTTCATTATGGTTAGCATCAAAATTATTGTTAATTTTGTGGGTGAATTTATTTTCAATTATTATATTCTGCCCACAATTAGAAGCTGTCCCATACGTACTGTCTATACTATTACTACTAGAACTATTGATTGGAGTATTATTGGCCGGTATATCAATATAAGCACCGGTATGTAAGGCCTGATTATTATCGGTTAACTGTCGGCGCTTTTTCGTGGTCTCTATTTTCTGTTTTCTCAGTGCTTTCATCTCGTCGTTGAATATCCACTCCTTGTTTACAAATAAATAGATTGTGTTAATTAATTTTGTTAATTGACACAAATTACATGTTAATTAAAGTGTTGTATTGTCTAGCTTTGGTAAATCATAACCTATTGTAAATTTATAACATACATTACATAACATATCAATATTTTTATTATAATATTATGATCATTTATAATAATAGGCATACGTAATAAAATTAACACATGATAGACTTATTATTTAAGTATAAATAAATAATTTGCCCTTTTCAACAAAGTTAACCAGGACAATTCGTAAGTCTGACAATATTAAACTGTAAAGTTTGCACACTTTAATTCATAAATATTTATTTATTTTCACTGGTAAATAATAATTGGCTCCTACCGTTAACAACTAATTATATGTTTTTATCCAACTAGGTTTGTTAAATTATTTTTTGTGCTTCTATAAATTAACTAGTTAATTAATATACAAACTTTTTTCATTCCCATTGTCAAACACTTTGCGAGTCGACATTTACGGCACATATTTCTTGTTTGTGCTGTAATTTCGCAGTCATTATTTTGAAAACACGTTAACTTCTAATTAAAAATAATTAATTATATTAATAGTATAATACTTTAGTAATTGACATTGATCATTTATTTATACATCATAGTTATATGCGTGGCGTTTGAAAAATTGTTTGCATGATTGACAGGACAGGCAATTAAAGTTGTTTCCTAAAATACAAATTAAAATTTTATTAAATTGATTGTTTTACAATAATTTTAGTTATTTTACTTCATCATGTACAGATATTATATTGTACACAACATTGATTGTACAATAATTATATTGTAATATTATTATGTTTGTTACAAACAGTAAACATTTATTGTTTATATACATAGGCTAACATTTATAACCCTGTTATTCTTAATTAATGGTTATAACAAACTTCTAGTTTATGTTATTTATAATAATAATTTTTTTTTGATAAATACCTTGAGCATTGTCACCACAAATACGACATATCTTTCCAGTGTTTGTATTATTGTTAATTTTATCAAACATATTGAATATAAAATATTTTACTTTAAATACAATACTAAAATTTTTAACAATTTTAAATTACTATTATTATAAGTTATTGCATAGATTATTTTAAATAGATTGTGGTCACCTCATATGAAATAAATTAAACATTATTAACACATGATAAAAAATGGTGATTTAATAAATGTTTAAACGAGAATATTATACAGTATAAACACTATGACTGTACAGTTTGTAATATATCACATGGTATACAGTATAATCAGATAACAAACAAATTTATAATAAACCGAATTATCATGTGTACTTATCTAATAATTGCATAATGTAAAATGGTGAGTGGGGAGAGTGCTTACATTTAAATGAGTCTTGGTGATTGTAATAAATTATTATACTTTAATGTTTTAACTATAGATTTAGTGATTTAATGGTTAATTAAAATTATAAAATAGTTTTAATTTGTTTATTATATAATTATAATTAAACTACTAAAACATATAAGTAACTTTTTATATTAAGTAATACTGTAGTTTTATATTAAGTATTTTATATTGTAATTATAATGTATATTAAGATTTTATAATTGCGTTAAAAATAAATATTTTTTATTTTAATAATTTAATAAATAGTTTACACGTTTAATGTAAATAAAATAGTTATAAATAAATAATCAATCATCTACTCATTATCTATTGAAACGGCCGTGATCAAATCATATACACTGTAGTATGTACCAAGCACAAATGCTACTAGACCAATCATTACAATGATTAAATTCTTGCTAAATAGCCATACTCGAGCTGATTGATCTATATAAATAAATAATTATTTAATTAAATAACAATTATAATTATTATCATGTGAGTTTACATACTTTTGCATAATCCCCAAAAGCATACGGTATGTAAAAAGGCCGGTATTATTATTTGTATTGAACTGCAATGTAGGTAAAAATACTATTTATTAGTTTATTATTATTAATTATTTAGTTAAGTTTATTAATTAATTTAATTGCGTAAAAATGTACCTGCTGGTTAATGCTCCAACAAGCGATAGTATTAGATCCAAATGAGGTATTAGACATGCCATGGCATCTAGGTGGATTATTTATATACAATCGCATGATTAATTAAGCTTTATGTTTTTATTACAAAATATTTGTTACAATAATTATGTCAAAAACAATTAAAATATAAATAATTTAAACTTACATGTTAATAAAACTGTGCCAGCTCTAAATAGGTACTCGGTCACATTTATGGTAGCTGGTGATAATTTATTATCAATTAGCTTGTTGCTAATCTTAGGCCATAGCATTTCAATGGGCACATACATTGTTATGGGGTATGTCATCAGTACAGCAAACGCGTACATGAGCTGAACGCTCTGGTATATGGGTTCTTAATTGAACATGATTAAAAGCAATTAAACTATTTCATTAATTTTAAAAGTGAACAATTTAATTTACCATCAGGCATTGAAAGAGTTACGCTAGCGCCAACATTATCACCATATTTTAAATAGCCAAATAAACCGAGTAGAAAATTCAGCGATATAATTATTATGTTGGTCATATCAACCACTCCCACAATGGGCCGGGCAAATGCTTTTGGGTTGGCCATGGTCCGATATAATGGCATGCCCTACATAATGAATTATAATTGTTTATAAATACACTGTTATATGAAAATTTTTATAATAATAATGTTGCATATCTAATTAATAAATAGAAAACTATTAATAAAATAATTTTACATAGTGAACTTACTATTGAAATGCCCTCAAAATTAAATATGGTGGTGACGAAATACAAGGGAAATTTTACGCCCACCCTGCGTCTAGTACTAACAGCATTAGGGTCAAATTGAACAATGTTGTAAAATATAATGCCCAGTCCGAGCACCTGTAATAGGTTGGCAATGGCCGATGGTATGGCCATAACGCGAACATTCTTGATAAATTGCAGCGCTATGATCAGGGGCAGTAATACAATCAAATAAACGTTCAGGGTGACATCCGGGCCAAACACATTATAGTTATCGAAAAACTGTAACAAAATATATTATCATTATTTTTATTATGTTTATTAAGTTAATTTAATATACTTTGGTTTAGTCAAGAGGCGCTAAGTTTTTATAATTATTGAATTGAACTTACTGCTTTTAAATTTTCGGCTATAAACAGGTAGTATACGGCGCATGCGCCCACTTGACTGGCCACTATGAATAGAGATGTTGCAAATTTTACCGTACGCGACCAATGCCGCAATGTTACCGGGCCATTTTCCAATGTTAATTCAGCAACCTGATTTATAAAATAAATTTTAGTTGTTATTTAATTTTAAGATAGTTGTTTGTCTGTAAATTTAATAAATAGTGTAATAAATAGATTAAAATTACATCTACGCTAAAATGCAATAAAGAAATTTGTTATTGCAATTTATAAATTAATATATCTATTTGGTCATAAATAAATATTTTTGCTTGATCAGCAAAATATTTATCTTTCTATAAAATGTGGTAAACAATTGCATAAAAATCATAATAATCGGATACTCATAAAGTAATAAAATCTATAATAATTTGAAAAATTAGAAATTTAATTGCATAGTTTCAGAAAATTTTTATTAAATTATAATTTACCTCTTCGTAATCCTGTACGGGCAATTCCAGCTCGTTGCAAACGTGCTCGCTCACTCTAACCAGTAAATGCACACAATAGGTGGTTATTAGGCCTATGATTGGCGTACAGATCGATGCGATCACTAGACCACCATCGCTATTAAATATTTGAACATGTTTTATTAATTTAACAAGTTAAAAACTACCGGTATAGTTTACCTAAACGCCGCGGGCATAGACAATATACCGCTCCCTATCTGGCCATTAACTAGATGCATAAATGCCTCTAGAGTTGTAGTAGTTCCAACCATGGTTATTATTACTTTGACCGAGGTTAGTTTGACCTCGGTAGTTCAAATGTGTACAGCTCGTTCGATTTTAAAATGCTTTTGCTGGTAACTGAAGCTACTCATAAAGATCAGGATAAGTCTTGTTTTTGTTTGTGTCAAAAAATATTGCTAATGAAATAGCAACTGGGCAATTTCAACAAGTCAAAATAATTACTAGGAAAACGGGTTAGGTTAGGTACAATTGCTTGTTTTGTTTGAACCGGATAAACTTGAAATGAATGAATATTACGCGAATACGGCCTACTTTTATACTAATATACACCCTATGAGTGCAGACAAGCGTAAGTGTAAAGTACTGGCCATTTATTGCCCTCGTGGTGTACTATTGTATAAATGTAATTTTTACTTCTATACCAGGGTGATTTATGGCTTTTTGCTGTTTTATGGATAGTTTTATTGTCAGGTATTATGTATCAATGTACGTGTGATGTATTATTATTATTATTAATATTGTTAATATTATTATCTTATGTTGTATATTATGTCGGAATTTTAATTCATTTTTATGAAAATACGTCATGGTGTTATGTGACAATAATACATAATATTCTGTGTGCATGTACATTTATATTTTGTTTTGTCTATATTTGTTTTATATAAATACAAATATACAAATAGTTTAAATAAATAATCAACAAGTACAAATTTTTGCTAAAAATTATTTAAGCTTCATCTAATTTTTTAATGTTAAATTAATAGTACAGCATAAAATAATATACCAATATAGTATTATTGTTTGTAATTTAAAAAGATTAATAGTTGAACTAAACAAAATTATCATGCTCAAGTAAAGTGTATAACAATAAAACATTAGCAACTTATTTGCAAAGAATTTATTAAGTGTAAAATGAAATCATTATTTTTAATTGATAATGTGCCAAAACAGTATCTTTTATTAATTATTATTTTAGTTAAAAGTATCATTGTGATTATAATCAATAAATTATCTGCTACAATTATGAATGAAAATTTAAAAATAATATTTATATAAAAACAATATCATTAATAAAAATAGTTATATTATTAATGTGATCGTCTGTGTTAACCCAACTCTATTATCACTGTAATTTTGAATGAAGTCAATTGCATTTTATTAGTTATAGTACAGTTTTTATTAGCAATTGTTATATATTTAGGTTTATAATAATTACATTTGTACATTGAAATTTATACTGAATAAATTTATTACTTTTGTAACATTTGTTAGGTTCAACATGGTTATTAGATTAATTTAATTAAATACATCTTATATTAAATAGAGTTCACTATTTTTAAATAATGCTTTAATGGGTAAATCTCTAGATGTCTGTAATTTATGCTAATAAACCAAAATGCACTAAAATAAGACTAACACATAATTAATATTATTTTGAATTATTGTAAATTAAATACTTATTTTATACTAATTATATTTGTTAAACCACATAATAAATATAGTCTCATTAGTTGGTAATTTTTAATCCTAACATGTACATAGATTGTAAATAACAACTATATTTTGTATCACTTATAATGCTTAATACTTTAATTATGCATTTGAAGCCAATTAATTGCATTTGGTAATTTTCCTATTTTATTGTATGTCGAATATCCGGTGTAGATTAGAAAATCATAAATACAATAATACAATTAAACTATATTAAAACTAAAACTAATTAATTTTTACAATTTTAAATTAATGTGAAATGATTTTAAATATACAGTTTTTACAACATAATCATTAAAACTTGCAAATTGTGTATTATAAAAGTAAAACAGTGACAAATGTTATTTATTTTTTAATTCATTGTTATGGTCTGGATAGGCCTTGGTTTATATTTTTATTTAAATCAATTATTAACCAATATTGATATAATCAAGTTTTTATTAATACTTAATATTTAAAGTAATAATTTAAAATGTTCTCTCTAAACGTTCATACCTCTCTCTCCCCCTCCCTTTTCTCTCTCTCTCTCTCTCTCTCTAATTATGCAAAAATATTTCTATTTTAATAGAAAACATGGATATTTATATGTTGAGGTTGTCAGCGGTATCCAAAATATGATTTTAAATATCTATCTCTGTATATAATCTAATTGATTATTGTATAATTACAGTGTATAGTATAGAATCTAATTTATACAAACATTAATTTATTTAACCTCTCTCTCTCTCTCTCTCTCTCTCTCTCTCTCTCTCTCTCTCTCTCTCTC